TTGTCAAATCTGATTTCAAACAATTTGGATGGAAGACACAACTTTTCTTTTCCTGCTAGAACAAATGCAAAATCTCCTCCCCAATGCAACATTCTTCCTCTCTTCCATTCTGGAAATAAGACTTCTATAGGCCAGTCTAATTCAGCAGTCCTTTCTAGAATCCAGTGGGTTTTGTCTTTTGTTTGATTGTTTGTTTGTTTTAATAGCAGTGCTACCTGTCTCATCGACTTCTTAAAAATTCAAAGCCAACATTTAATATATACCTGTGATATTCCTTATCCCCCTTCTGTTTTATGAGCACCTCCTTTAAATTCCTGTTAGATTTCTCTGTAACTGCTTGTCCTGTAAGATTGTAAATATATCTGTAACATTTTCTATATCATAGTGTACAAAAAACTGTTGTATTCCAATGGCTGCATATGTTGAAGCACCATCAGCCTCAATCTATAAAGTCCCCTCCAAGACAGTCACCATCTCTAACAAATATGTAATGTCAAAGTCATCTTTCTCAGAATTGAAGGTAAAAGGCCCATTGGAATTCTGAATATGTATCAATAGTATGATGCATCAACATATGTATATATCTTAAATCTCTAAACTCTATAAAATGAGGCACATAATCTGTTGTTCTAAGGTAGCATCAAACAAAATCTGTACTCTCAATTCAGAATACAGACCTTCACCTAGCCATTGATCCTTGGCAATATAAATATAATATCCAGTCTGACCATGTTGATTTATGACTGAAGCTTTTTTATCTAGCATCTCTATGAGCTGCCATTTTAATTCTTTAAGCCTTTGTAGATTTCTCAGATGAGAGAGATCTACAAAGGCTTAGGGTTGGTGTTACTGTTAATTCCAGATTGGATTCCTCTGAAGGTTCCCTATTTTGATTTAAATAATCCTCCAACCTTTGTTTTATGGTCTCCAATCTGGCATCTAATTCTTTTTTTTTTTTTTTCCCCTTCAAGACAAGAGTTTCTCTATGTAGCCTTGACTGTCTTAGACTCATTTTGTAGACCAGGCTGGCTTCAAACATCAGGAGATCTGTCTGCCTCTGCCTCCTAGAGTGCTGGGATTATAAGTGTGCACCACTGTGTCCAGCTGCCATGAGGTTTCTTTTTTTATTTGTTTGTTTATTCGAGACAGGGATTCTCTGTATAGCCCTAGCTGTCATAGACTTGCTTTGTAGACCAGGCTGGCCTTGAACTCACAGAGATCCACCTGCCTCTGTCTCCCTGAGTGCTGGGATTACAGGCCTGCACCAGCAGGCCTGGTTTGCCATGGCATTTCTTAAAGGGGCCTTGCCTGGCTTTCTGGCCCAGCTCCATGTCCAGAACTCTTGGATTACTGCATGAGTCTTGTGTTTTAAGCTTGGATTTTTAGGCAAGTTTGGATTACATGCCTACCACGGTGGATACCATCTATAGTAGGGTTACTCCTCCTGGGATCAAAATATATTTACAAATACCTTGACTGTATAGCTAGGCTCTTGTCTGACTAGTTTATAACTTAAAATAACCCATTTATACTAATCTACATTCTGCCACATGACTGGCTACTTCTGCGCAGGTACCATGTATATGTCTTCCTCACTGTTCAGTCGGAATCTCTGGTTGCTCCTGCCCCCACCCTTCACCCCCAACATTATCTGGTAAATCCTATTCTCTCTCTCTCTCTCTCTCTCTCTCTCTCTCTCTGTCTTTCTCTGTCTCTCTCTCCAACCCTGCCCCTCTGAAAGGCTCCTCAGGGCCAGTTTCTGCATTCCCAACATTTCTGGCATTCCTGACAGCTATCTCAATCTCCAACACCTGAAGGTGCTATATATGTAAGCCACCCCCTCACCTTCACCCTCACCCCTACCCCCATCCCCACCCCAGATAGCCATATCTGACCATAAATCCAGCGTGTGACAGACACATAATTTTCCTTTGCCTACAATTCTTATAAGCCATCTCTACCATAGTCTGGGTGCAACTTCCTCTGGTCTTGTTCCCTGAGGTTGGTGAACTCACCCAGAAGCCCCAGTTCCCAAATAATCCTGCCTTGGCTGTCCTGGACTCTCATAGACTAGGCTAGCCTCAAACGCACAAAGATCCACCTGCCTCTGCCTCCCTGAGTGCTGGGACTATAGGCGTGTGCCACTGAGCCTAACCTTTTTTAATTTTTAATCTGATTTGAATTGGCTTATGTCCTTGGTGTTGATAACCTATCCCTCACAACTTCCCAGATGAATCTCCTGTGCCTGGCTCTATCCCAGAATCCTTTCTGACTGCCAGATGTGCTGCCTTCTATTCTACTCTTACCTATAGGCCAGCTTTTTGTTTTTTGTTTTTGTTTTTTTAGTTGACAGGCAATGCATACAATACACAAGATACTCTCTCTGCAGAAGTGTAAGCCTAATAAACGTTTTCCTCCCCAACTTGCTTTTAGTCATGGTGTTTCATCACAGCAATAGTGGCCCTAAAATAAGACAGTCATGGATGTAGAATTGTTTCAGTATGCTGCAGAGTTAGGTTTCCCAAATACAAGGATATTGTGTGACAGAATTCTTCCTCTTAACCTTTTTTTTTTTTTTTGGTGGTGGTGGGGGGGTGTTAAGATTTATCTATTTATTACTTTTACATTATTCTACCTGTTTGTACACCTGCATGCCAGAAGAGGGCACCAGATCTCATTATAGATGGTTATAAGCCACCACGTGGTTACTGGGAAATGAATTTAGGACCTTTGGAGGAATAGCAGTGCTCTTAACCTCTGAGTCATCTCTCCAGCCCGATTGGAATTTTTCCTAGTGAGATACAACACACATGTCTACTTACCCCAGACAGGGAACTCACAACAGCCCAAAGTACACCACCATAGCCCATTGAGTGTGAGCTATTGAGTTTTGTTGGGCTTGCTTATAGGTATATGGGTAAGGGATTACTCACAGAAGCTGAAATGGTTTGAAAGCAGCATCACCAGGGCCTACCCCAGCATAGGGGACAGCTCACAAAAGCTGGGAAGCCTGGATCACACTTGTACAGCCTGTAGGCAGCTCAATAGGTTGGTCATGGACTGTCCTTTCAAAGTGAATCTGGGGGTTGGGGATTTAGCTCAGTGGTAGAGCACTTGCCTAGCAAGCCTAAGAAGCACAAGGCCCTGGGTTCGGTTCTCAGCTCTGGAAAAAAAAAAAAAAAAGACAAAAACCAAAGCAAATCTGGTCTAAACCTCTTGCAGGCAGCTCTGCAGATTTTTCTCTTCTAGGCAGCTAGTCTGGTCTCAGTGTCTTCTGTGCAGTTCAGCTTTGTCTCCTGGCAGAGAGGGGACTTAGTGAATCTGGTTAGTTTCAGGGACTTCCTGAATGTATTTTGTGTTGCTTACCTTCCTTCTTAAAGTACTTTATTTCTTTTATTTATTTTTTCCTTTTCTGTTTTTTTCTTCTAGTTTTTTGAGACAGGGTGTGTGTGTGTGTGTGTGGAGGGGGGGGGTCTTGGCTGTCCTGGAACTTGCTCTGTAGACCAGGCTGGCCTCAAACTAAAAGAGATCTGCCTGTGTCTGCCTCCTGCGTGCTGGGATTAAAGTGTATGTATGCTTTCTTATATTTTGAAAAGAAAGCTTAAAGTTTAGTGGTAAAATTCCTGCATGCCTCCGGACCTGATTTGGGCCCTAGGAACCCCTCCCTTCTTCATTCCTAACCTCACTTCAGTGATTTCAAGTAAAAAGTGTTAACCAGTATACCAGATGTGGATGGCAGTAAGAAAAAATGTTTAAGCTCATCTCCTGATTGTTTGGCCCTAGGGAGAGACAGATGAAAAGAGCCCAAACTGGTTTAAACTGTGACCTGTCTGGACAGGAGAGCAGAAGGAAGCAACTGATTGAGGTAAGCAGAGAGGGTAGATCAAGAAAGTCTGGATGCCCTGCTGAAATTTCTATTTTGGGAAATCCATTCTGGGATTGTGGGACTGTGGAGAGAATGAGGAGATTTGAGTTAGGAGGGCATGATAGAAATCAGGAAGAGAAATTGTGATAGGGGCCAGTGAGATGGCTCACCAGGTAGGGGTGCTTGGCACCAAGCTTGAGGACCTGAGTTCAATCCTTGGAACCAATCCTCTCCAGCAAACAGTCCTCTGAGCTCCTACACATGCACACATAAATAAATGAAGAAAAAAAAGCATCTTTAAATGAAAGAAAAGAAGGAAGAAGGAAGGAAAGAAGGAAGAAAGGATAGGTTGGAAAGTTAGTTCAGTCCCCAGCACCTGTATATGGGAGCCTGTGACCACCTGTAACTTCAGCTCCAGCAGATCTGAGGTTTCTGGACCCCGCAGGCAGCTACAGTCACGTGCGTATACTTCCACTCACACATATACACATAATTAAAAATAATAGAATTTTATTTATGTGCATTGGTGTCAGGGTGTTGGATCCCCTGGAACTGGAGTTATGGACAGTTATGAGCTATCATGTAGATGCTGGGAATTAAACCCAGGTCCTCTGAAAGAGCAGCCAGTGCTCTTAACCTCTGAGCCATCTTTTCAGCCCCAGCTACTTAAAAATAAATAAGTAAACAAAGAGACATTGTAAGATAAAATTATGATGGCCGGAAGTGGAGCACTATCGGAGGAAGAGAGAAACAACTGTGAAGACATCCTTGGCGACCAGAAGAAAATGCATAGGCCCAAGGACAGCCTCAAGCTGCTATCTGACAGCTCCTGGGTGAGAGGCCCTTCTCTTCAAGAGGAGGAGGAGGAGCACACCGAAGAGCAATGTGGTTGCGTAGTGACAGTCCAAAAAGAAGAGCAATGTGGTGGTTGCGTAGTAACAGTCCAAAAAGTAGTTGGATTGGGCGCCTGGTGAGTCAGCGCTAAGTCAATCCTGTCCTGACCCTGCTCCTGCGATCCAGCCACTCTAAGGAAGAGAATCTGACGGATAACCTGGGGACCCAGCATTGCACGGGCAGAAGCAGCCCCCACCTCTGGGCCCGGAACCTTCGGCCGCCGCCACCCGCATTCGCGGCGGGACACGACGTGAGAACCCCTCCTCTGTTGCTAAGGGGCGGCCCGGAAGTGACGCTTTGTTGACAGCACTCAGGCAGCCACAGGCTCTCCTAGCCGTCGGAGCAGGATCGGGGCGGGGGAGGGGCTGGGCCCGGAGCCAGTAGCCGGCGGCCCTAGCCCAGCCGGCCGCCCGAGGGCAACTGAACGGCCTTGTCCCGGGCTCCGGCCGCTGCATTCTCGCCCTGCCCCGCCCCGCCGACCGGTACCCGAACCGGATCCGACCTCCTGCGGCTCTCTGGCCACCGATTCCCCCGGGCCGCAGCCTCCGCCTGAAAACCTGCGAAGCATCCCGTCTTCCCGCTGAGGGCCGCCCCCTCCTAGGGTATGTCCTAAATGGCGAGGCAAGAACGTACCTGCATCCTCCTCTTCCTCCCGCCTCAGGGTCTAAGCCTTGCCGCTGCGACTGCTGGCAAAGGTCTACCTCGGCCAGTGGTGGGATGGCGTTCGTCTCCTGCCGCCCAGGTCTGAGGAACCTGCCTTGAAAACTGAGCTCTCTCCCTCAAGGAGAACGACGCTCACCCCTGCAAAATGGGGGATCAACGTAGGGCTTAGAAGGGCGGCCTCTGCCCCTCCTACCTGTTGGATGAGTTTTGTTCTCCTCCCAGCCCCCAAGCCGTGCCACTTAAAAGCTTAAGGATGGTTTGGCTGCTGGATCAGCTCCCAAAATGGGATGACAAGGTGCAAGAGAGTGCAACAGGGTCGGAAAAGGGCGGGTGGGCTTGCAAGCTTAAGACCAAGGGCGTCCTATGTGAGGGAAAAGTGAAACTGACTGGTCTGGCCAGCTCTGGATGGAACTTGATTTGGCTGCTCTTTAACCAGAGGCAAAGATTTCTCATGTTTGCTTGTGCCTTGTGAGAGAATGTTAAGGTGTAAGTGTGTGTCTGGGGTGTGGGTGATGGGGGGTGCCTAATGCCAGGGAGAAGCTGGCTCAATAATGTTTCTGACAGAATGCTTCTCTTCAGACTTAAAGTTAGAGTGACCATGGGCGATAGCATTGAGAGGGATCATGGGAAGCTATGCTTAGACCAAGAGGTGGCTATCAGATGTGAAGGGTCGCTGTGCTTTGGCTTATTCAGCAAATAAATGTACAACGTGTTAGTAATAGGTTAGTAATAGAAAGGTAGAGCAGGGGGGATCAGAGACTGGGACCTTTCTATAGAAGGTGGTCAGGGAAGCCCTCTAATAAGGTTGCTGTCTGCGCAGAGATGACTGAGATAGAAAGACATTACAGCTTTCTGGGAGCACAGCATTCCACCGTGGGTGCAAAGATCCCATGGTGGCAAGAGAACCTGCTTGGGTCAGAATGAAGGAGGCAAAGTGGATGGCAGGGAAGTCAGCTGGGAGCAAATAACAACAGGGAGCATGTTAGGGGCTGTCTTGTGATGCAGGACTGACTTGGAATTGTTGAAATGTTGGAGAAAATGCAAAATTGTCTGGGGAGACAGGTGACCACTGTACTTTGGCCCTGTGCCCTTTTGCCGTCTGTGCTGACCGTCAGTGACAGAAATCTTGAAGACAGCACTGCAGGCAAGTCATGTCACTACTGTTTCCTCCTCGTCGTCATAATGTGAGCAGGGGACCTTCTGCCTCAGTTTTTCCACCTGTAGCATAGGACTGCTAAGTTGAAGAGTGCACGAGTGGCAGTGTGGAGGGTACATGACGATAAGGATCTGTCCGCCACGCGACCTTTCGAGCATCAGCTGGTAGTACTGCCAGCTGTCTGACTCCTGTAGAATGTGTAGGAGTACCGGAGGAAGCTACATAGAATCTGACGCCACTCACTGGGAAAAGTAATGGCCTGTTCTCCAGGCTGTCTGGGAACTTGGCCTTCATTTTGTTTTGTTTTTTTAAGACAAGGTTTCCTTCTGTAGCTAGGCAGACAACTAACTGTACAGCCCAGGCTGACCTTGAACTCAGCAGTCCTCAGCATTCTAAGTGCTGAGATTGTAAACATGAACCACTAACTCATAAAAACTGGTCGAATTTGTTTGTTTTGAAGAAGTTTCATGTAGACAAGGCTAGCTTCAGACTCACTTTGTAGACCGGGCTGGTCTTGAACTCACAGAGATTCACCTGCCGCTGCCCCCGAGTGCTAGGGTTGTGTGTGTGTATCACCATGCCCAACCCAATGGGGACTTAAAAATCAAGTCCTGAAAATCCCCATTCTGTCACATAATGTAAGCACAATGATGGTGCTGTCTGTTGACTTGCAGACAGATTGGAAAGGGCAGTATTAGGCCTGCCTCTGGCATCAAGTGTGGGGTCAATTACAGGCAGAAGCTGTGGATCCTGAAGGTACCTGGCACAGGCTGCAAATTTGCAGCCTTCTAGGAGAACAACCACAGATCTTCCTCCTCACTCTAACTACATCATCAGGCCTGGGTCATAGGCTGAGCAGGACCAGAGGATTTGAAAATGCAAAAGCAAAGGTAGGGGGTGTGGCTTAGTGATAAAACACTTGTCTAGAGTGCATAAGCCACTGGGCTTCATCCCATGCACCACAAAAAAAAGTAAAACGTAAATGTGTGAAGTTAGAGCACTTGGAAGCCAAGAGCCTACATAACAGAAAGCTTCTATGACCAGAACCCCAAACAGGGGAACCAGGATGTAGACCGTTCTGCTGCCCTGTTGTTTTACATACGCAATGGACCTTACGTTCCGTGTGGACCTCAATTTTCCTATCTTTACACTGAGAATGGTGTCTTCTTGCCCCTGCTGCCTCTGGAGAGCTTAGGAGGATGAAATGAGACAGGTGGGAGAAGAATCAGCTCTTCACTGACACGTTGCAGTGGTGAATAGCACTTCCTGTTATAGTTGGAGCCATTGGGTTGCAGGTACATCTCAGCACAGGACTGCTCTTTGCCTCCTGATGTTTATTTTTAACACTTACTTATTGAAGAGCCACCGTTTGTGGGTAGAGGTCAGAGGACAACTTATGGGAATCTGTTCTCTCCACCATGAGGGACCAGGGGCTCAAACTCAGATTTTCAGCCTTGCCAGCTGGTACCATTAACCACAGAGCCATTTTACTGGCCTCTGCCTTCAGTGTTTTTTTCTTTAGCCTCAGTGCTTCAGCTGTTTTTTTACTCCAGAAATGTGAGTTCAGAGACCCCTGTGGACTCAACTATTTGGGGACCAACATCAAATCTGGTTCATTCACTGGAGCTGGTTTTCTGGCTTCAGAAGTGAGCAAAGAGCTGGGGATATGGCTCAGACAGTAAAAATGCTTGCCTTGCAAGCATGAGGACCTGAGTTCAATCCCCGGCATCTGCATACAAAAGTGGTACAGTGACATGCTCTTGTAATCCCAGAGATGGAGAGACAATGACAAGAGGATCCCAGGTAGCCTGTCATTTGCTTATTGAATAATGGGGGTCCCGTGGCTCAAGCAGGGTCCTTGCCTTTAGGAAGCTTCTAGCCCTGGCCCATGGTGCCCATAGAATTATTACCACAGAACCAGATCATGTGCTGTCGGTACTCAGGATGCGTGGAGTTGTAAGGAGGTGGTGATAGCACAGAAGGGAAGGTGAGGCTTGCCTAAGACGTCAGGGGTGGCACCACTGAGAACAGACCTGGAAATCTTGAAACCCTAGTGTTGCCCTGCTGAGCGGAGAGCACCTATCTATACGCACAGAGAGTGTGCAGACTTCTTGGCACACAGCCTCAGCTACCTTACCTGCAGCTCTAGATAGAACCCTGTCTCCTGTGAGGGTGAAGGGACCTGGTGCACATCCAGTGCTGAGCAGTGTGGGCATTCTCAAGTTTGATTGCACAAACAGAACCCACGTAGTGTGACTCTCAGCCTGTCCCCATCCTTGTCTTTTTATCGAGAGATGCCAGCAGCCCAGTGGGCATGTGCACCCTCCCTCGTTCTATCTCCCAGCATAACGACCTGCCGATATAGTCTCTAGACTTCTGTCTCTAGCACTCCCCTGCACCTCTGTTCTCTAGAGTCCCCTTTGTCTGGACTATCTTAACAGCAGCTTTCTGTCCCTAATCTCCAGCCCAGGACCATTCCTTCCTGGAAAGCATTTAACCTCTGTAAAAAGGGTTTGGGTTCCCCGAGCTCATGGGTTAACCTTTCACACAGTGGGCACTGCTCCAAGGTTTGGATCCTCTGGCTCCCCAGACTCTCTGTCCCTTAGATGTCAAGATGCTCCCTCCTCTGATCATTGGTTACTTTCTTTCATGTTTGTTTGTTTGCTTATGTTTTTCTTGCTGTTGTTGTTGTGTTTTTTTTTTCTTTTTTGATTTTTGTTTCTTTGTTTTGTTTTGTTTTCCAAGGGTTTCTCTGTGTAGCCTTAGCTGTCTTGGACTCTCTTTGTAAACCAGGCTGGTCTCAAACTCAGAGATCCACCTTCCTCTGCCTCCCAGAGTACTAGGAATACTAGTTGCGCCCAGCTGGTTTTGGTTTTTTGAGACTACCTTTCTCTGTTTAACAGCCATGGATGTCCTGGAACTCTGTAGACCAGGCTGGTCTTAAATGCACAGGGACCCACCTACCTCTGCCTCCAGAGTGCTGGGATTAAAGGTGTGTGCCACCACTCCCAGCAAACTCACTTTCTTTAGCCAGTTTGTTAGAGGGGTGGAAAAGTGTGATTGGTGAGCACTTAGATTTACTCCCTTACCCAAAGTCAGTGTTGCTGTCACAGGCTACTTTTGTGTTAGTTGTGGCTCTCAGTGTCTTCATCAGCAAACGACTAGCAGTCTCTACCTCAGAGTACCATCATGAGATAATCCTAGCAACATCAAACCTTTGTTCCGCCCAAATGCCAGGCACTAGTAGGCACCAAGGATGTGGGTGTGGGTGCAAGCGCCAGTCTGTCCTCTGGAGCTGGCAGCTGGGGGGAGGGTTATAGACAAATTGTTATGCAAATCAATAGCTCTCTATTGGTATAAAGTACTGGGATGTGATGTTTGGCTGGTTAAATAAGAAACCGTAGGACGTAAATTCTGGAAGGAGCTGGGTACCCGTCTGGAAGCACCCAGCTTGGAGGTGGTACAGTGTGGGTGGCTGCCTGGGCTGCTGTTGGTTTTTCTCTCTCATTTCTTCCACTGCCCTTCCCCCTGCCTGTAAGAAAAGAGACATGGGGTTCTTGCCCTCTCGTCGTTATCAATAGCAGAGTCCAGGCTGTCCCCAGTTGCCAGAATTCCAGATGGCTGGAACCTGCCTTGAGAGTGAAGATCCTTAAGACTCCAAGGGGTGGAGTGGTGGGGTGTTGAGTGTCTAGGCTCTGGTGCCAGATGAGGGCAGCTCCCATCTCAGCTCCCTCAGGCTCTCCCCCATCACCCCACCCCCAGCCGCAGGGTCAGCTCGTCGAG